TAAAGAATTCTGATAGTGGGATCTTAGTTGAGACTTGAAGGAAACCAGGAGATAGAGATGAGGGGAGAGATTTCAAGGCATGGGGGATAGTCAATGAAAATGCTTGGAATAAGGAGATAGAGTGTCTTGTGGGAAGAACAGGAAGGAGACCAGTGTCCAGAGGTGGGGTATGTGAGTGTTTCAAATGTGAGACAAACATATAAATTCATAGAATTTTGGGGTGTAGAGAAAGACAATGTGACATAGTACAAAGGACATTGGCACTGAAGTCAGACGTCCTCTGTTCAAATCTTGCCTTTGGTGCTAATTACCTGTGTGGTATTCAGCACTTAACTTGCTGGGACTCTATTTAGACAGCCACTGAGGCCCTCTGGTTGATGAGCCTCTGATCCATACAAATGAAGTCTTAAAGAGATTACATACCTTACACCAGTGGTATCAGACACAAATAGAAACATGAGCCATTAATCTCCATATGAGGATCCTAATGGGTCGCATATTTAGTTTTAAAGTGTATCTATGTTTTATTATGTTTTTATTTTGTTAAATATTTTCCAATTATATTTTAATCTGGTTTGGGCCCTTGTACTTGGGAAGTGTTACAAGCCACATGTGTTTAACACTTCTGCCTTAATCCATGATCTAGTCATGGTGGTGCCTTAATCACCTTAATCATCCAGTCACACGGGTTCCATGCACTTGGGATACATACACTTGTTTTTTTAAAAATATTTTTATCTTTGTATTTCCATATAAATGATTTCCTTGGTAATCCTATATATTTTATTCTACAAATTGAAAAACACTATTCTGAGGAGTCCATGGACTGCCAAGAGCTCCTCAGTCCAATTCTTTCATGTCTACAGATGTGAAATGATCCAGAAGTTGTTACTCACCTAAAGTCACCTAGGTTATTTGTCACAGTATGAGGGGCAGAACCTAGACTCTCAGGCTGTTTAACACTGCATTTTTTTTGCTTTCATAGGAACATAGATTCAGAGCTGGAAGGGACTCTAGAGGTCTTCTCATCCAACCTCCTCATTTTATAGACCACAACTGGAGCCTAAGGAAGTCAGGTGACTTACACAAGGTCACATAGAGAGTTATGTGGCAAAGCATAACAGCTGAACCCAGGTCTTCTGATTCTAAACCCAGGACTTTTCCCTCCTATACCACAGTGTCTCCCCTGCCATTAGCATCTCTCTGTGTCTTTACTGGAAAAGGATAAACCTTTCATTATTTTAAAATGAAATTAGGGTGCTGAGTTGTCTAAGAGGCAGGATTGGTTTTAGTCACCATCCCCAGCCTGCCTAAAACCTGAGAATCCACAACTACATCTCCTTTGCAATTTGCACCAGAAAAGAGTGTTTAAAAGAACCCCTTCCCCAAAGATTGGGCTTGTTCCCTTCTTTGGCAGATAATCTAGAGCTCAGTAAAAGTCTATGTCCGTGTGATTTTAACAGCCTCATTTCCTATATTTGAAGGCAAATGAGCATCTTCCTTGGCCAAATGATGAAGGTGTGACAATCTAGAATTATGATGTGACAAAGAAAAAAGGGGGGAAAATAAGAAATGCCCTAAAGAAAGATCATAGGTAAACTAATATAAAAATGAAAGTTTTTCAAGATGTCTGAAGCTGAGTTATGTAACTTTTTGTTGCATCTTTGTTGCATAACTAAGCTATATATTGGTGATGCCTATATTTTCTGGAAAACAACTATTAGGTATTAGTTATCATGGTATCTCCTACATCTAGCAACAGGGCCTTTCACATGATAATTGCTTAATAAATATTTGTTGAATTCTCCATCTATCTCTCTGGAGATAGATGGCCTGCCTCAGTAGGTTCTGGGTTTCACTTTAGTGGAAGTCTATAAGAATAATAATGATAGCTAACATTTCTACAGCACTTACCATGTGCTAGGTACTGTGTTAAGGACTTTAAAGTAGTATCTCATTTGATCTGTGGGAGGTAGGTGCTATTATTTTCCCTATTTTACAGATAGTACAGGCTTGTCTACTTAGGGGTCAGGTTGTAGAAGGGATTCTAGTTCAGGTATGGGATGGATTAGAAGGCCCTATGAAGTTGATTCTAACTCTTATGATTATAGGATTCTGAGTGTGTGTGTGTGTGTGTGTGTGTGTGTGTGTCTTAATAGATATTTAGATATTAAAAGGTTGGAATTAAATTTAAAAAGGAAAAAAAAACCATTTAATGACTCCATAGCAGATTGTTTTGAAAGCTTCTTGGATTTTTGATGTTTTTGCAATGGTCAAATACAAGAAATGAGGGTTTGAAGATGCACTAAATGAAGATATAAAAAGAACTGAGTTGACTTTTCTCCTTCCGCTCTTCTGAAGTCAGTCTTTGAAATCTGTATTCTGAGACGTTTCTTGGGTAAGAAAAGGAGATCCATAGGACCAATACTTTCTACGTCCCTCAAATAACATGTTGGCCTCTGATGAAACCAGGAGTTTTTGACCAATGAAAAGCTCTAGAGATTCTGGGGTTTCTTCAGAATTTCATGCATAGCCCTTGAAGCAAGTGCAGAGAAATAAAAAATTTCAAAAAAAAAAACAAAATAAGACTTCAAAAATCATAACTAAATGAACCCATGGATAATCATTTCTACTCAGCAGAATTAAATGAATTAGAAATTTGGAGGGGAAAAAAATGACTGTGGCCTTTTGTCAACAACTAGAAAAATCTTGTTGCTTAGCCTTGGTTAGGTTTGACTTCTCATATTTTAGGTCTTTGAAATATATTTTGCTACCTTTTTTTCCAGTGGAAAAAAATATCAATGAATGGGATCCCATGAAAGCATGTCACCTCAAGGGCAGGAATTGTCTTTTGTCCCTTTATATCTCCCCACATCCCACCCCAAGTACCTCTGTACCTAGTAGGCAGGCATCAAAAAATATTTGTTGATGATGCCATGAGATGCCTCTACTCATTTTCTCTTAGAACAGTTCTCCCTTCTTAGTTTTTATTTTAATTAGTACTCTTTGAATCAGTTTGCTCTTCAATTTAATTCAATCTGATTCAGCTCAAGTCAACACTTAAGTGCCTACTATGTGCAAAGCAGCATACTAAGCATCAGAGATACAAAACCAAAATTGTTCTCAAAGAACTTAATGTTCTACTGGGGAACTACAATGTATACACAGAAATGTAAATACAAGAGCTCTATCAAGTTACAAAAATAAATTTAAAGAGGGAGAGAATACTAACTGGCAAGGGGGAAGGGAATCAAGAAAGGCTTCATGTAGGAGATGGCATCTAAACTGAGTCTTTTTTTTTTTTTGGTGAGGCAATCAGGGTTAAGTGACTTGTCCAGGGTCACACAGCTAGTAAGTGTCAAGTGTCTGAGGCCAGATTTGAACTCAGGTCCTCCTGACTCCAATGCTGGAGCTCTACTCACTGTGCCACCTAGCTACCCCTAAACTAAGTCTTAAAGGAAGCTTGGGGATTTTAAGAGGTGGCAGTGAGGAGAGGATATACAGAAGTAAGGGCAGAGACTGTGGGCAGTCATGGAAGCAGGAAACGGAATGCTGCTAGAAGACCAATTTTACTCTTTTATTTTTAAAATAAAGTGAGTTGCAAGCACATAAGGCTGGTGGGAAGTAAGGAGTCAATATATGAGTACCTTCACATACTAAGAAAAAAAGGTATTTATTCTAAATTCAATTAGTGTTATACTATATTGCTTAAGCTTCTAGTCTTTAAATTGGCTTTAATTTCTTTGAATTTTGAAGAAGACATTTATTTAGTGAAAATATCTATGTGCTCATTTTCTAAGTTATCACCCAGCTCAAACACCCTTAATCCTGTTCTGAGTATGCTCTAGAACAGAAGTGTCCCCAACATTTTTATGGTAAAAAGCTACTATTCTTGTCAGCTGAAGCACTAGGATTGAGTGGCAGGAGTTTGGGAGAAAGGAAGGGAGGATACTCCATAAAAGGGAAAGAAGTGAGGGAGGGGAAATCATAGTTAGGAGATACCCCTACTCACTCACTCTTCCCTATACTTCACCTTCATTTCAAGCAGAAAGTGGGACAGAAAGATATCAGCTGGTGACTGACCAGATGAGGACACTGTTTCTAAGAAGCAAAGTCCAGAAGCAAGCTCTGGAAGCTAGATTCAATGCAGAGATTCTAGATGTGAAGGAGTGGAGTCTTTGGATTAGAAGTAAATGTCTAACACTTAGGGTTCTTAAATTCATTCCAGAGACATTAAGAGAAAGCAAGTGATTAACTCAATTCAATACAGTGAACCTTCCCTAGGGAGGAAAAATTTCTTTTGTCAACATGTTAGATATTTCATGCTAGTAAAGATCAAAAATATCTGTTTACGTCTTAGCCCAGGACAGAGAAAGTATAAGCACTGTAAGAGAACACCTGTTTGTATTGTTGCATCACCTTATTCCTTTAAATAGCAACACATTCACCCATATGCCCTATTTATGTTTCTATCAGATCCTTAGGGAAAACAAAAAAGTCTGGGTCTCCCCACCTTGCTGAGGCTAGAAGTCCAGGGACTACTGAATTACTGATTCCCATTACTGATCCACATGGGAGCTTCGATTTGCTTTGTTGGGTTTGGTTTGCTCCTTTTTAGGAAACTTGATTGTTCCCCAACTCCTGAGGGCTCACCATATTAATTTGTTCAGACACTCAATCAGCTAAGAATTCCATAGATGGAGAGAGCCACCAGCCTCAGCCTCCCTGGTCACTGGAATTACAGGCATGTGCCACCATACCCAGCCATCTAGTTCTTTGAAACATTCACCCATCAATCCATGTATGCAACATATTCACTCAACGAGTCTACCTCTTCACAACTTACAAGTTTTCTAGCGATTCCTGACCACCTCTTTTCCACTATATATAGCTTGTGTTCAGAAACATGAGTCACCATAAAGGCACAGGGCTTCCTGGCAAGCAACATATATGATATCAAAGATGGGATTACTTTTTCTTTAAGCATTAATTATCCTTACCAGTTCCAGTAGAAAAGGAGGAGGAGCCAAAAGCATCTGCTTGAGTAGTGACTGGCCCTGGTTGAAAGCCTGGGATCAAACTCTCTGCTGAACCACCAAGTTTTTCAGGAGGTTTGCCTAGAGTAGCAAAACATACAACTCTTAGGGGGAATGTGGCTCTGAGTATGTATACACATCCAACCTTCTAGATCTGGGGGGCCAGAATCATGTTTCTGTTTGATTCTCTGATGTTACAATAACACCTCACTCACCTGGCAACCTCAAATTTGAGGACTACAGCTCAGAAGTCAGAAGCAAGGGGGAAAAAAGTATCTGAACAGGCAAAATAATACATATACCCTGTTTATCTTTCTATCAAAGTCCATGTAGCAAAGGTCAAGTAACTTTAATTCCAGTTTCAGTTGCTAAGCCTGTTTCCTCATCCATAAATGAGGATAACAATATTTGTTCTATCTAACACACAGCACTGTTAAGAGGAAATCATTTATAGAGATACATGGTTTCATAGAAATCACTTTAAGAGACACATAAACACAAGTTACTGTTATTATTTGTACATAGGAAAAAGCATCAGGTTCTCATACAGAGCTTATTTTCTATTTTACATGAAGTTCCAAGAACTCTTAAATTCCCAGCCTATTTCATATTGTTGTTGTCCAGTCATTTTAGTCGTGTCTGATTCTTTGTGACCATATTTGGGGTTTTATTGGCAAAGATACCTGAGTGGTTTTCAATTTCCTTTTTCAGCTCATTTTACAGATGAGAAACTGAGGCAAGCAGGGTTAATTGACTTGCCCAGGGTCTCACAGTAACTGTCTGAGGCTGTATTTGAACTTAAGAAGATGAGTCTCCCTGATTCCAAGCCTAGTGCTTTATCCACTGCCTGCCCCCATTATGTATTACAAACAACAAATGAGAACAGGTAGGAGGACATAGAAGCTTGACAAAGTCCAACTCTTACGCCTCACTGGGGCAAGGAGATGACATTAGGTTCTTGAAGGTTATTCCCAAGGAACACAGATGCTGAAACGTTCGACCAACCAAACTAGAAAGGCAGTAAGTATGTACCCAAACATCGACTCTTTGGTATTTAAGCTCCAACTTAGTAAAGTAAGAAGAGGATCACTGTCCATAGCAACCTAGGCAATTCACTAGGCAATGAATTCCTTGGCCATGGCAACCATGAGACAAAGAAAAAAATGCAAAAGGGACCTCAGTCCTAAGGGACCCCCTTTTATATCTGAGGTGATATGGTAGAGCAGTGAGAAAAGGAAGTGGAGGATAGATACACAATTTTTAGGATACCTGTCAATCTCAACTTAATGGTTGGTACTCTTAAGTGCATAGTTTCTGTCTGTCCACTAGTCAGTTGATATACTTTTGGAAAAAGCGGACCAAATGAATATTGGTCATTCTTTCTATAAGTGAAACTGTAAGACACGTGATACAATGATGGCCCACAAGTTCTCCTTGGAGGGACAAATAAAGGAATCTGTTTCACTAGATGCCCAAAGGCAACAAGAAACATAATTTCATGGGACATTTGATCATCTTGCATCGCAGTTCTTAGGATAAACATGAGCAAAAAAGACCATCACCAAGATAACCACGGCCCTATATATGACCACTTGTAGCAGACAGTATTAGAGGAAAGTATACTAAGAACTTCACAACATCCTCCAAGCTAAGACAACCTACACCTCAGTACTCAGTGACTTTAGTGAAAAAGTGGGCACAGACGATGAAAAATAAGTTGGGAAATTGAGTTGAGAATTACGAAATGAAAGAAGCCAAAGATTTGCAGGCTACTTGGAAGCCTTACAGCAGTTATGTACGTTATTCAAGAAAAGAGACAAAAGGTGTTTTACATGGCAAACATCAACAAACAATATCATATATGTGCACACACACACACACACACACACACACACACACACACACACACACACACTGAACCGATGGGAAACAAATGGTTGCTGATACAGACTCCACAGAGTTACAGAATAAAAAAGCTAGAAAGGACATCAGAGGCCCTCAAGTGAAACTCCTATCTATACAAGAATCCTCTACAACATTCCCAAGAAGTGGCTATCCAGTTTTTCCTGGAAGCTCTCCAGTGACAGGGCACCCGTCACCTCCAGAGGCAACAAGCAAATCTACTGCATAGCTTCAGTTGTTAGGACAGTTTTCTTTAGATCAGTCCTAAATCCGTCTCTCTGTCATTTCTACCCTTCTAAAAGAAATAATTATACATGTGATGACTGCTCACCCCTCAAACATAAAACAAAGGGCAGCTGAGAAGACATCATAAACTACCCATCCATATATCTATCTTCTCCTGTCTATACTCTCATATCTGAGTGTGACATAACTATTTGAGGTGTCATTCTTAATGAAAATTTGAGATAGAAATAAGCAGTCTTTTACAAATTATTTTCTACATAGATCAGATATTCGGTCCCACCATTGAATAAAAGCTGTGAAGACAAGTTCCTACATGGTTATTGATTATAAAAAGCGTTTCTTAGGATAAAGGGATCATAGAACTAACCTCTAATTCCTTCATTTTACAGATAAAGAAACTGAGGCCAAAAGAGGTTAAGTAACTTGTCCAAGGCCACAGAGACACTAAGCACCAAAAAAGGGATTTGAACCCAGATCGAGAACAATGTAGATATTAAGTACTTGAGCTTCAGAGGTGAAATTTAACTTGGTAGCAAGATGAAAAGGTTCACCATCAATGTGCCTCCCATAATACGTTAAAAACCATATAAAATTCCTTGATAGCTTCAACCATAGAGAATTTCATTCAAAATTTCTCTAATTATTAGTATTGTCAGGGGATAAAGGGAGAAGATTGCGTGCTTGTCAAACATGTCAGTTCCTGCCATGCGGGACTGATTCCTGTACTTATTTAAAAGGAATAAAGGATTTCCAAAAGATGATAACGTTTTAGACTATCAAAAGACATCAGGCGAGTAATGTACATAGAACAAAAGTAAATGGATGAAGAATGTCCATTGTCTGTACTATGACATTCAGTTGGGTGATAAGTCCATTGAATATATGTACAGATGGAATCTATGTTAAGCAATGTGCATGGACAAAGAATTGAGTACAAAATCAAAGAAGAGGAAAAGACAGGCTGGCTTGCAATGGGAAATTACATAGTGTTTTCAACTATTCTAAACTCCTCATTGACATCTGATTCTTTTTTTTCTTAAACATCAGTCTTCTTCTGATGATGTATATAGCTACAGACAGAAAAATAGCACAATCTCCTGAAGAATCTAAATTGCAGGTCACACTAAGAGTAAAGGAGAGATGATGGCACAGTGGGGGGAAGAATACACAAAAGGAGGCAAGAAAGGTAAGGGGGGGGTGGGAGGACAGGGAGGGGATAAAAATGGGACACCTGAAAGTAACTTGTTCTGTGGAGCTGAAATCAGACAGAGAGCAGAAACAGTGGAGTAAGCCCAAAAGTTCACTTTTTGCCCTCTATAAAGGAAGGCATTGGGAGGAGTTTGGTACTCCATACTGCAGACTTCCAAATAGGATATGGCATGTCAAGTCAAGTCAACAAGCATTTATTAAGCACTTATTGTATTCAAGGCATGGTGCTGAGAAAACAAAGAAAAGCAAAAACAGGATCCCTGTCCTCAAGGACCTCACATTCTTTTTTTTTTTTCAGTGCATTCTCAGCCCATGCTGCTTTATTGCTAAAAACCAAAAAACAAACCCCAAAAGTTTTATACATAGTTGCAAAGTTTCAACTTAGGGTTTTTTTTTTTTTAAGGCAATGGGGTTAAGTGACTTGCCCAGGGTCACACAGCTAGTAAGTGTTATGTGTCTGAGGCCGCATTTGAACTCAGGTCCTCCTGAATCCAGGGCTGGTGCTCTATCTACTGTGCCACCTAGCTGCCCCCCAAGTTAGGTTTTTAAAAACAGTTCCTCTTTACACCATCAAAAGAATAAAATCTCTCCTTCAAACCCCCAAAGATGCATAGATACAACAGCAAGCTGCCTTTTCCAAATTTCAGGTATGAAATTCTAACAATGAGAAATTCTAACAATATTATGTTGTAAAATATAATAACTGCAGTGGAGTAGAGAGATTACAATGCTGCAAGTGCATAGAGTATGTAAACAATCTTTCCTGCACTAAAGACAATCAACATAAGAGTATGTGAAGTGAGCTCTTCAGTACTGGGTCTTTCAAATCTAATGCCAAATTATTTATTTTATATAGAAGAGTTGAATAATTTAAAAGCAGCTTCAGGAATAGTAGTTACTTGGGATGAAAGATTACCATGCACTGCTCCAGTTTCTTTTTATTTATTTTGGATATTTCTCCTCACCACTGGAAAAAAACAATACAACCCAACATCTCAACAATGGCGCAGAACACATACGCCTCTCATTCTAAAGAGCAGACAACATGTAAATAATTATGTTTATATAAGATATACACAGAGTATATAGAAAAACGTAAGCTTAAAGAAAAAGGATCTATCAACTGAGGGCAACCAAGAAAGGTCTACTAAAGAAGACAGGATTTGAATTGAGTATTTAATGAAGCAAGAAAAACTAAGAGGTGGAGGTGAGGAGAAATAGCACTGCAGGCATGGGGAACAGCCAATGCAAAGGTATAGAGATGGGAGAAAGAGTGTCACGTTCAAAGAACTGCAAGTACGCCAGTAAAGCAAAACATGGAGTATCCAATGCAATCCAAATAAACATGAATTAAGTACCTACTATGTACCAGGCACTAGGAATACAATTAATAAAAAAAGACAGTCCCCACCCTCAAGGAGTTTATAATCTGATGGGGGGGGCGGGGAATACACAAAAGGAGGCAAGAAAGGTAAGGGGAGGTGGGAGGATATGGAGGGGATAGAAATGGGACACCAGAAGGTAACTTGTTCGGTGGAGTTGAAATCAGACAGAGAGCAGAAACAGTGGAGTAAGCCCAAAAGTTCACCTTTTGCCCTCTATAAAGGAAGGAATTGGGAGGAGTTTGGTACTCCATACTGCAGACTTCCAATCAGAGGGAAGAGGAGGCTGAGGGAAGTGGTGTCAATCAAAACTTGAGTAGAAGAAAGGTAATGAGATTAGAACTCATCCTGGGAGGGGCAGATGCAAAGAGGAATATGTGAAAGACAGAATGTGTGGAAGGTAGGAAGAAAGACTAAAAAGGTAAGAAGGGGTCAGGTTATGAAAGTTTTAAATGCCAAACAGAGCTGAGTTTATATCTGACCCTGAAGGTAACAGGAAGCCACCGAATTTACTGAGTAGAGGAGGTAATAAGCTCATACATGAGCTTTAGGAAAATCACTGTCAATTGAGTTGAGGATGGATTGGGGCCAGTCGTTCAATAAATATTTATTAAGTTCTTACTATGTGCCAGGCACAACACCAAGCCCTAGGGCTTATCATTGTTGTTCTGCCGTTTTTCAGTCCTATCTGATTCTTTATGACCTCAATTTGGGGTTTTCTTGGCAAAGATACTGAAGTAGTTTGCCATTTTCTTTTCCAGCTCATATTACAGATGAAGAAACTGAGGCAAACAGGGTTAAGTGACTTGCCCAAAGTATCTGAGGCTAGATTTTAACTCAGGAAGATGAATCTTCTTGACCCTAGACTTAGCACTCTATTAGTTCCCTGTCTTAGGGCTACAAAGGAAGTTTAAAAAAAAAAATCCCTGCCCTTCAGAAAGCTTACATTCTAACGAAGGAGATAATAGGTAAATAGAGAAGTAGAAGGCAATCAGTCACCAAAATGGTGTAAATGATATCATCTAACAAATGTAATGGAAAAAAATGGAAAAGGAGATGAACTGGAGATATATTGAAGGTGAGAGATAGGAGATGGTTAGCCTGAGTTTTACATTGGTACACTTGGACCTTAAAGGCCTCCAAAGCATTGGATGGATTCACTTTGGAGGATGTGGATAAGAACCGAAAAGACTGACACAATATCAAGGGTATTTCCCATCTGTATCCAAGTGTATCCACCCAAGTGATCCTAGATCCTTTGACTTACAGAACAGGGAGGGCAAACAGGCTGTTAGAGGTAGGTGCACTGATAATAGTCAGAAGTCCCTCAGCCTGATAGAGAGCAAAGAGCCTACTTCACAGGGCTATTACGGGGTAAAGAACAGCTTTAAACTTTAAGGCTCTTTAGAAATGAGAATTATTATTGTTTTTGTGATTGTTGTTGCTGTCATGAAGGTGCTGTGGAAACCATCAATGGGGCTGAGTCAAGAGACCTGAGTTCATTTTGCAGCTCCTCTACTTACTGGAAAGGAAGGAGACAAGCATTTATTAAGTGCTTACCGTGCACAAGAAATTGTGCTAAGTGCTATATGAAAACTATTTCTTTTGGTCCTCCCAATAATCCTGGGAGGTGAGTGCTATTATTATCACCGCCCCCCCCCCATTTTATAGTTGAATAAACTGAGGTTTAAATGAATTGCCCAAAACCACAAAAGTAGTAAGTAGAGGTGGAATTTGAACCCAGGTCCTCTGAATCCAGAATCAGTGTTGTTTTTACCATATTATGATGCTTCTTGAAGTTCTCTTCCTAACTTCTCTCTCTGCCCCCTTGCCAGAATAGCATAGGTTATCAGAATTTCTTGAGGACAGTGTGTATTTAGTATACTGGGTAAAAATACTTTCTGTCTCCAAACTTTAAAAGTTTTTACGTCTAAAAATTTCTTGGCAAGGGAAATAAAGGCCCACAGATGTGCATCTACTTAGGCAAAATAGCTCTGGGAGCAGGTATTACCTGGCTCCTTTTCATTGTGGGATGTTTGCCAGTATGGAGAATTGGCATTCGCCACTCACCATCACCAAGTTTTGCAAAGTCCTTGTTCAGTAGCTCCTCAGCTGTGAGTTTGGAGAAATTGTCATCATCAAAGGGATTCCAAGTGGAGCCTTCCGAAGGATTATAAACATTTTGCTGAGAGGTCCGGGGAGAACCCGATGGAGTGGTAGATGCAGACCTAAAAGTCCCCACCCCCATGAAACAAAAGTTGTGAGTAAAAATTGAACAAGAAGATTATAGGATTTTAAGATTTAGATTGATAGATTCATCAATAAACATTTTTAAACACATGCTACAGCTCAGATACTGTGCTAGACACTGGTGATACAAATAGGAAAATGAGAGTCTCCACCCTCAAAGAGCTTCTATTGGGAGGTTCAGGTTCACAGATAAGTAACAGGCTAAATACAAAATGAATAAATGGTAACTAGGGAATGTGGGAATCAAGAAAGGACTCTTGGATGAGGTAACACTTCAGCTGAGCCTTGAAGGGTGCTAGGAGTTCCAGGAGGAGATGGTAAGAAGGAAGAATGTTCCAGGCAGATCTTTTCTTTTTTGGGGAGGGGCAGGGAGAAGTTTTGGGAAGAGGAAAATGGAGAGAGGAGTCTGTAAAAAGGCAGAGAATCAGAGATGGAATGTTATGTGTAAGGAACAGCAAAGTAGGTTAACTTGGCTACTACAGCAGGGTGTACATAAAGGGGAATAAGGCATAATCAATCTGTAAAGATCAGTGGGACCCAGACTGTGAAGCGCTTTGCATGTTAAACAGAGGCAAAAAGGAACCACTGGAACTTTCTGACCAAGGGAGGCATGTGATCAGACCTGTGCTTTAGGAGGAGTGGGGTGCCTGGATTGGAAAGGGGAGAGAGTAAAAGGTACCTTAGAAATTACCCAGTCTCACCATCTTTCCTCCTAATTTCAGAATGAAACTACATTCCTTGAGCTGATTGAAGTTTGAATCTTGGTTCTGTTTGCTAATTATCTGTGTCAGTCAGTCAGTCCTTGAGCACTGTGCTAAATGCTAGATAATAAAGAAAGGCAAAAACAACCCCTACCCTCCAGGAGCTCACATTTTAATGGGGAAGACAACATGCAAATAACTAAGTAGGTATGAGGTATATATGGTGTATATGGAAGGTCATCTCAGAGGGGAAGGCACTAGTGGTTGGAAGGACCAGGAAAGGCTTTCTTCAGAAGGTGGGATTCGAGCTGAGTCTTGAGGGAAGCTAGGGAAAGTAAGAGATGAAGGTGTAGGATGCAAAGCATTCCAAAGCATGGAATGAGACAGAGACAGTGCAAAAGTATGGAAATAGGAGCTGGTGTGTTTGTTGTGTTAACAGTAAATAGGCCAGTTTTACTGTGTGATTTTGGGCAAGTAATTAAGACTTTCTACTATTTCATCTGTAAAATGAAGGGATTGTGCCCCTTCTTGTGATAGATCCTGTGATCCTCTCTTGAACTCAGTTCCTATCCTATCCTCTCCCATCCCTACTACCACTATTCAGAATAAAACATTTTTCACCAAAAAAATCTGGTTTAGTTTCTCAAGGTTTTTTCATTTTGTAAAATGTTTCCCTTCCATTTAGATCTTGCTGGGGATACTAAGACAAAAACCAAACAGTCTCTACTCTCAAGTAGCTTAAAATAAACCTCTACACAAATTTTGAATCTCTGTTCTTCCCTTTCAACCCAGCTCCCTCCCAAACCCCAGCCAGGATCTTGGTAGCCCACAAGATCTTGGGCTAGTTCACACTATGTTTTGTTAGGATTCCCTGTGCCTTGTCTATATACATCAATAAGAACTATGGATGACCATGCAGAGGGGCCATGTTCCAGAAACAGAATGTACACCAAGTAAAACCAGCTGGTCCTTGTCTCCTATTTCTATGATCTATTCATGTGGCACAATTTGGAGTCGGTTTTTCTGGCCTCTTCACTCAGCTGCCTTCTTGAACCCTGACCTCCCAGGGGTTTGGGCTTTGCCTCTCCTGACTATAATTTTCAGTCCAGAGTCCTAAAGTTGGGAGATGGTGCAGTGTAGGGAAAAGCCATTGGGACTTGTATTCAGCAGACTGGGGTTGGCTCCTGGTTCTACCAATAGCTGTGTGGTAGCTAGGTCACCTTAGCAAGTCCCTTTCCCTCTCTGGGCCACCTTCCTCAAATGAAAAATGAAGGAGTTTAGATGAAATAATATTTAAAGTTCTGTCCCAACATTAATAGTTTCCAAGGCTGACTCTTCCCACATCTGTCCTACTGGGAGTAGTTTCTTGGTTGCCCCCACCTCTGCTGCCCAAGATCATCTCGGGACTCGAGACTTCCCATCTGCTTTGTTCTCTACCTGTGAGCACAGAACTGAGGGCCCCCAGTGCTCCTACAGCAGGTGTAGGTGGTGGCCATGTGAAAAACAAAGGAATGGTTGGTTTCCAAAGTAACTGGAGTGTTCTTCCCCACCTTCAGCTGCCCTCCACCAACCAAGGTACATTTTCAGGTTGCACTGAGGTCATAATTTTGTACCATAACAAGTTTCTCAACCAAGTTGGAATTAGGATTTCTGTTCATATTGAACCAGGCAGTCAAAAGGCCTTTTGACCCGTCCCTCCTTTGGGTAGCTATCATCAACTAGTCTATGAGGCAGCTCTGGTAGGGGAAGAGAGACTGTCACACACTTTGCAGGTGCTTTCTGGGTGCTGAGCCTGGACTGAAATAGCACTTTTGGATCAGATTTGTAAGCAGGTGCAAAAGCCCATCTGTGATGAACTCATCAGTATCATGGCAGTCCAGAAACCTGAGGCCCTGATCAAGGAGTGACACAAGATGGAAGACTATATCCATTCTGCTGTTGGCCTAACCTACCTATTCTACGTATTTGAGCTTCATGGGAAATCCCAGGCCAACTCTGAGGAACCCACACAGATGTGGTGGTCCTGATTCCAGCTCATGTCGATGGTACATTTGTATTGTGTCCAGCTTTGTCATTACCTGCCCAGCTGCCCTGCCAAAGGGTAGAAGAGGAAAATGACTGGATCCTCTGGTAAAGGAATTTTTGGTAGTAGAACCACCTTCCATTCAGTCCTTACTGTTTTGAGCATGGAAAGTTAGGTACATAGTTCTTCTAGTTGGTTTAGAGCTTCTCAGCCATAGGGAACTCTAGGAAGTCACTCTCAAATTCTGGGGTTTCTAGAAACTTTATGGACCTTAGCTGGGTCCACAAAGGGTTAAATGCCTACAAAGGCCAGAGTTGTCCACCTCGTGGTAGAAGGTTCCAAAGGAAAGGCTCTAAATTCACAGAACCTGCCTGATACAGGCAAGTTTGATCATATAGCTAAAAAGGAGAAGGGGGAGATATGACAGATATAGCTAAGGCAAGCCCCAGGATCCGAAGCAATTCTATCATCCTTTATCTGTTCCCCCCGAGGTTCTCTTTGCCTAAGGATATAAGATCTCATAGCCCTCTAACCAGTTAGCTGTCCGGACTGAGCTGATTTCCTGGTATTTGACTAGTTATGCTATGACTTGAATTCATGGGAAGCTTGTGGCAGGTTGCTTTTATTACTCTACCCATTTTATCTAATACTCACGCCTGGACTATTTCAATAGCCTGCAAAGGCTGGTCTCCCTGCCTCAAGTATCTCCCCACTCTGATTCACCCTCTACTATGTTTCCCCCCTCCCTCATTCAATAAACTCCAATGGCTTCTTATTGCCTCCAAGATCAAACAGAAAACTCTCTGATGTTCAAAGTCCTCCATAATCTGGCTCCCTCCTACCTGGACAGTCGTCTTATACATTATTCCGTATCCTGAACCCTCTCAACATACTCTGTTATCCAATGATACTGTTTTCCTTGCTCAGGATACTCCATTTCTAGACTCCAGACATTTTCACTGACTGTTGTTCATGCCTGTACTACTCTCCCCTCCTTATCTTTGACCCCTGGCTTCCTTCAAGTCCCAGATGAAATCCTATGTCCCATGAGAAACCTTTCCTGATCCCCCTTAACACTTAGTGCCTTCCAATGATTGATTAATTCTAATTTATCACATAGTTATTTCCACATAGTCTCCTCTATTAGACTGAGCTCCTTGAGGACAGGGACTACATGAAATCATTCTCACTTCATGCTAAAGTAGAGGCCCCTAGAAACACTAAGAGTGCAGAGAAGCCTTCAAATGCCTTGTCCCCATGCCACTCCCAATATCGTATTGATTAACTCCATTAAAACATAGATTCTTTAAGGAGCAGGGACAGTTTAATTTTTATGCCTTTGTACTGTTAGTGCCTAGCACATAATAAATACCTTAATGAATGCTTATTGATCAAATAACCAAATGAGATACAAAAGCAGTTAGGTAGCTCAAGAGACAGAGGTATGAATTAAGAGTCAGTAAGACCTAATTTTGAATCCTGCCTCAAGCTAGTGCCATATACTAGCTGTGTGACTTTGGGTAAGTCACTTAACCCTTAGCTTCAGTTTCTTCATCTGTTAAATGAGGATTGAGAGAAATGATTATTAAATAACCATTTACTGGGGAGAGACTCATGGTTTTTTCCCTTCCTATCTCCTCATTCCCTACTGTGTCAAGCCAGTATCTGAAGTACATTGCTGACAATGAGATTAGATTAACTTTCTCCTCAATCTAGTTCAGAGGGACCCAAGTAGGGAAGCCCATTTTGTTCTACACAGGCTTGGGTGGGGGTTGGATCCTTAGTCTAGATTGCCCAAGGCTGGGGGTGGTCTGGGAGTGATCTCATTATAATATTCATTCTTCTCAGTAATTGTTAACCAATCAGAGTTGATTGTCACCCTCAGGAATACCCCCTCTTCCAAGGGCATATAAGCTTTCAGTGGGTTCCAGGAGGGGTCTTTGGCATTCAAAAGTGCCACTAACCCCTTTTATTAACTATCCACTAGCATAATTAATAAAATGATTAATTACCCAGAAATTGTGTCTCTCAGACTTTTCATACATCACAGGGTAATAACAGCACCCACCTCCCAGGACTGTTGTAAGGATAAAATAAAATAATCAATGTAAAGCACTTTGTAAACCTTAAAGCACTATGTAAATTCTAGCAACCATCATTATTATTACATACAGAAAGTACTTTGCAAACCGAAAAGCACTATATAAATGCCAGCTCTTATTATTTTAATAAATGAATAAATTTTGTATTGAAG